AGAAAGTAGCATTTGATCAATGTAATTCTGAAGAGTTTCTAAAGATAATTTGGGAAGACAGTGAAGGAGAGAAATAGCTATGCTCTTTCTAACAGATTAACATACATACTGTAAAGTGACATTCTTGGCAAGAGAATTGAGAGAAATACTACGAAATAAATAAGAACAGAAATCTAATAAATGCATGACACCTACATAATGGGGAAGGGCAGTTGGCCCAAGGCGAGGTAAGCTGAACATATGATGTTTATGTTACTGTAGGATATTCTAAGTACTGAAGTGTTCTGAATTTTTCTTACAGAGTCATCAGAATTGAACAGGAAAAGGGCTATAAGCCTTAGCTCCTGTGGCTTCCTAAGGGTAATAAATACAGTTTTAGAAAGTCTTAATGAAAGCTCTGACTTTTAATGCACTTTCAGGGGTTTTTTTTAAGGGCTATGAGCTCAACAATTCTTGTTGAATGCTTGGACATATATGCTTAACATGCTATGAGTGATTGCACTTACAGTGAAGAGCAGTTGAGTAATTGAAGGGGGATGTGAGAGGTCACTGTTGCACTTTCTCCATTGGGTACTTCAGCCTTGGTTTGATCCGAACCACTCAGGGTTCCAGGGAAGTGCAGAAGGATGACCCCAGGGGAAATTACCTGTTCAGAACAATGTTTACTTCATTTTAACACCTTAATTCCTGAACTGTGTGCATCAACATGTTCTCATATGTAAGAAAAGTTGAATTAAAGACCACGTTTTCCTGTATTTTCTCAATACCATACTGTCTCTAAAGATGTATGTAAAAATAGTGTACTAAAGTATCCTTTTGCTCTGGTAAATTGTAGATTGGGGTCATTTGTGCTATTCACTTAGCTTTTCTTTAGAAGAAAAGTGGAGTCATAAGCTCTGGTAAAGGATAAAAATGCATTGTTTGGCAGAAGACTCTAAATCTTGCAAGTTCCTCTACAAGGGAGCTTGGCTCTTTCACTGTTGTTTGAGCGCCGCAGTGTTTAGGCAAAATAGTGTGCATATTTTTTTTGTTCTTCTGATATGCAGAATAGTCTGAAGGTTTCCAGGTTTCATTCAACTGGGCTTTTGCATACTTTCCCCACTTTCAAAATTTCAGTGCAGTGTGCAAATGATAATGCGTGTAATCCTACCTGAACCAGAGGCACAGCAGATAGATATTATACCTTCTGTGGTATCATGGTGTGTTATAGCACTGAGCAATAATGTGTAGATATAGTTCAGTACTGTTTAAAGGCTTAAGTTTTTCCCTTATATAAGTAATACCATTTTAAAGGTTATATTTGAGTTGGCTTCTAGAATTTGTTTCAGCTTGTATCATCTGTTATTTGGGGATGTGGCAGAAGGGAAGTTATTTTATTTCATTAGGCATAGGACAAATGTTTGCTCTGTACTGATTAAGATTCATTTTCAGTAGGATGGGATGACCATGGTAGCAGTATATAGTGTAGCTGAATAGGCAGCTAAGAGGAAGGTAATTAAAGTATATGCTTATTTGTTTCTTAGGTTGTTACTTTAGATGGTAGCTGTCTCATGTGAGATGGTAGAAGCAAATTATTGTCTGAAGTTTCACTGATCAGAGTTTTTGAATGTATTTGATAATTTTAATGGTTAATACACATCTTTAAGTTGATTGAATGTTGAATATTCAAAAGTGATTATTTTCAGTTTTATCTTGTAGCATGACAGTGCATCATGTAAAAGTTTCCATTAAATATTTATTGGAAATGAAGCAGGTTTGTATTTGAAGTTTATTCGTTTCAACAGTAAGCCTCAGGACAGTACTTGGGCAACCAGGATGTATAACTGCTATTAATGTTCCTGAGAATTTGTAGTTTATTTCTTGAAATTACCTATTTTACTTCTAAGAAATGAAATTTCCTTGAGGTGCACTGTATAACATAGCTAATTACAGAATGTGGAAAAGAATTTAGTCCAGTTTAAGAGTGAACATTTGAATCCATGTTAGTTTATTGGAAGCTTGTTAAAATAAGAAGGTGGTACTCCTGATTTGGTTATGTTGACAGCTGAAAATGGTGAATTCTTCAAACAGGTCTGTAATAAGTAATTGTGGATAGTGTCATAGTTGCCTAAGGTGATTGTGATTTTTTCTTAAAAACAAAAGTAAAGTGCAAAACTGACCTATATGTGTAGCACTATTCTTGCTTTGTCTTGTGAATCATATCAGCTCCAAGTTATTTAGGGCACTGAATTTCACTAGGTTTGCTGGATTATAGCAAATCATTCAATTCACAGAGAAGAACAGAAAAGAAGTTTATTTTTATCTGGATGTAAGTGGATTTGGCCTTTGCTGTGTGGAAATTATAGTTCTGCATCAGTTTCCAGTAATATAGTTGCTACTTCATCCCCTTGCCCACACAACCAACCGTTTATCCACAACACCCATTTTAGTGTATTTATCTGATGAATAGAAAGAAAAGAGAATTTGCCTAAAAATTGCACAGAACCAGTGAGAATGCACAGAACATTTTTCTTTCTGTCAGCTGTTTGACTACTGGGAGTATGTTTGTGTAATTATGGCAGCTTTTAATCTCTTCAGTGATTTTACCGTTCCTTCATGCAGTTCTTAACCAAGTCTCTCAAACAGTGCTGAAAGAAGCTTGCTTATGAAGTTTGGTGGATTATTTTTCTTGGGAAGTCATTGTTCTAGTTCTGATTTTGCTACTTTTATGATATTCTGGGTAGTCATTTTTAAGACATCAAACACAGGAGAATCCAAACTCTCACAATCACAGAATCATGAAATCATTTAGGTTGGAAAGACTCTTGAGATCATCAAGTCCAGCTATTAACCAAACCCTGCCAAGACCACCACTAAACCATGTTCCTAGGCCCCACATCTGTACCTCTTTTAAATACCTCCAGGGATTATAGAATCATAAAATGGCTTGGGTTGGAAGGGACTGTTAAGAACATGAAGTTCCAACCCTCCATCTTGGGCATGGATACCACCCACTAGACCAGGTTGCTCAAAACCCTTTCCAGTCTGGCCTTGAACACTTCAGGGATGGGGCAGCCACAGCTTCTCTGGGCAACCTCTTCCAGTGCCTCACTATCCTCTGGGTAAAGAATTTGTTCCTAACATGTAATATAAATCTTCCCTTCTTCAGTTTAAAACTTGTCCTATCACTGTCTGCCCATGTAAAAAAGCAGTCTCCCTCTTTTCTATAAGCCCCCTTCAGGTATTGGAAGGCTGAAATAAGGTCCCCTTGGAGCCTCCTCTTCTCCAGGCTTAACAACCCCAGCTCTCTCAGCCTTTCCTCATAGGAGAGGTGCTTCAGCCCTCTGATCATCTTGGTGGCCCTTTTCTGGACCAGCTCCAACAGGTACATGTCATTCTTATGCTGAGGGCTCCAGAGCTTCTTTGCAATGGATTTCTGAAATCAGTTTAAAACGTGCTGCGTTGCTCTGCATCCTTTCTGTGAAAGTTACTTGTTGATTCTAAAACAAATTAGACAAGTGATAGTGATTTGTTCCTGATAGTGGCTTTGTGCAGTTGTTTTCACCAGGTTGTTCAATATTGTACCAGTATGGACATTCACAGTGCATGCTTAAAAAACCCAAACCCTAATGTAGTTTTAGAAACTCAGCAACTACGAGAGATTTGTTAATGTTTCTGCACAAGATGTTGCAGCTTTTCCCTTACAGGGGCCTTGTTTAAACATAAATATTTCCTTTCATATTTATTTCAGGATTACATTTGGTTTAAACTATAAAAGCCAAAGTCCTCCTTAAAGCCAGTATCTGATGGGGAGCTGTAAGGGTGTTTTGGCTTATGGGTATATGATGACTTACTAAAAGGTTTCTTGCTTTTTAAATTAGTTTACACCGAAGGGAGATGACTTTAAGCTTTACAGCAGTGTAGATTAACTTGGAATTTTGCTGTTCTTGACATGAAGAATGTACTTATTGTTGGGACAGCAAAATTTAATCCTATGGCTTCAATACACTGTGGTTTGAAAGGAGAGATGAAGTAAAGAGAGAAAAGAGAGTGGAGCTGTCAGCAGGAATGTTGGGAGCCACCCCGGTGGGAACCTCTTTCTCAACTCCTTTACTCCAGCTCTTCAGTGCTTTTTAAGCCTCTGCAGAAAATGTCTTGTACAGAACTTTTCTGATTGGTGTCAATTCTTTTCTTGCTTGTTGAGTGCTCCTTCCTCCAGGAAGCAAATATTTCTGTTTGAGAACCAATGATTATTCCAGCTGAACCCCCAGCTCTGGGAGAACTGCATATATAGAGGATTCAAAACGGGAGAGTCTTCCATAGCTGTTGAGTACTTGTGGCAAATGCCTCTTTCACTTGTATCTTAAGTTGACTCTGCAATGAATTCTCTTTTTGGTCCTAGAGCTTTTTAAGAGGTTAGGCTAGTAGCTTGACTGCTAGCCTATTTAATTTTTTCATGTCTATTTCCATTAAATGGCTTTCATGAAGGAAATTAATTTGATTAATTATTCCATATTACTTGATGTAAGACACTGTAGTTGGTTATGATGGAAATTCTTATGTACATAACCATTTCCAAGATGTTTCTCTGCAGAATTTGTTATTTTTTTTTTTATTCTGCTCTACAATCATAAGCTTTTTCAGTTATCATCTGTATCACTGCAACACTTGGACAGAGATATTGGGATTAAATTCTTAGTTCCACTCCATACCCATTACCAGTTTTAGGAAGGAAGCTATACATTATGGGTTTCCAGAATGGGAGGGCATCAGTGTGACTGCTTGAGCCCTGTAAGAGCTGGAGCTTCACTAGGTGCTTTTAATGACATACATTATTCATGAATTACCTATACTTCAGGAAGATAGTAGCACCTGATCTAAAATGTTGATGAGGATCCAGGTAAATTTGTCTTTCTGGGTTTTATTGCAGTGGTTGGAGTTGTTTGTATGAATGATAGTTTAAATACAGAACAAATTGCTGCTGAGTTGCAATGGCTTAGCTGTCTATTTAAATGTCACAGGTAGCGGAGGACGATGATACCGAATCACGACCGGAAGAAGAGAAGGAAGAACTGAAATGCTATTCAAGAAGAAAGTTATTTTCCAACTGGAACCGCTATGAAGATACAGAAAAAGAGGAACAGAATGAACATGGGGAGTCACAGAGAGGAACAGACTTCAGTGTTTTGCTTAGCTCAGCAGGTAGGCATTTTCCAGTCTATAGGGTTTTTTTAGGTTTGCATTTTGAAACATTACTACTTTTCTGGCTGTTGTCCTTGATGATGAAACAGGACCCTAGAACACTATTCTTATCTGTCCAGTAAGTCTGTCATTTATGTATTTAGGAGTGTTCAAAGTCTTCATGGGAACAGCCTTATAGAATCCAGGCTGCACTGAGCTGTGACAGATGGGAAGTAAAAGGGGGCTCCTGGCTGCATTTCTTGTGAAAATATGGGTCTGAGTGTGTGCAGCATCCAGTAACATTGAGTTTATTCCTACTGAGGATAAATTTTTTGCTGATCTTGGTCATTGGGTTGCTTTCCAGGAAACAAAAAAGGTTGCTGGTATGACTTAACACAGCAAACAGTCAGGCAGCTGCTTGCAGTTGTTTGTTTTGGCTGAGATTTGTAATCAGCGCTGTACAGATGTGTGCGTGAATAGCAAGTGTTACTCTCCTTGGAAAGTAAAGATCAGTTGTTTTCCCCTCTTTAAAGGAGATAATAAACGAGGAGGTGGAGGGACAGGTTGTACTATATCCTGGGATTTTTTACCTATACATGAATAGTATAGACAGTTACACAAAAAACAATTACCTAAAATTATTTTAGAAACTAAGATGTGTCATTATGTTGGAATACCATTCAGTAGAAAGCTGCAAACAATGTATTATGGGTTTTTTTTTTAGCAACTTGGAAGCTCTGAAATCTCCAAATCTAAATAACTGGATTTTTCAGCCACAGCTTGGTGGGGTAAGTTAGAAGTTAGGTACAGTAAAGAAACAAAGACCAGAGCTTCCTTTCTGTGTTCAAGAATCAATTTCTGAAGTTCTGTTTCAATGAACGTTGTGAAGTTGGGCCTAATCTGTCAGTTTTTAATCATAGGATCATGAAATGTGTATTGACTTCTTGGAATGGTATGTTGCGTGGTAAACTGTGTTGGAGTCAAGATGCACAGTATGGACCTCAGAACTGTGTACGTAACCGAGGAAAGCAGATACTGCAATTCAAAACTGCTTAAATCAAGAGACCTACTCTGAGCTGCATGTATCCATGGTTCAGCTTTCTAAAACAAACTTTAATAACTCTGTAGTTAGCCTTCAGAATGTCTTTAAAATTGTTCTGAAGAACAGTACTTTTGAACTGAGGCTGCAACAAAATAGGATTTAGCTCTACTAATATGTATTTTTGGTGAGTTATATTTCAATGCAGTTATTGCCAACCTATTTATTTTACTCTTTAGATTCTTTCAATGCTTCAAATTAAAATCTTGTTAGTATTCATATATTCATTCTATGTATTAATTCTAAATCTTTGATTGATAGAGGATATATTGTGACCGTTCTCTTACAATAAAATAAATTGATAAGAAACAGCAATGAAAAAAAGTACTTCCTTTCAGAGGAAGAAAAAAGTACCTTCTAAACAGTAGTGCAGATTTCTTGCAGTCAAAAAGCAGTATATGTTGGCAGGGTTGTTTTTTTTGGCTTATGTATGAAAACTGAGAATACAGACATCTTTATTTATAGTGATCTGAGAAGAAGCTTGCACCTGTGCTTTATTTGATAATTGCTGCTATTAGTATATTTCTGCTTAGCATTCTGAAGTTGCAAAATGGATCCAATTAATTGCAACAAGCAGTTAGGGGGTACTGGAGAGGGAATGGAGTTAAATTTCCTTTTTTCAATAATAGAGAAGCTTAGAAAAGTCTTAAAGTCATGTGATTTACTATTGATACACAACAACGTAATTAATGCAGCCAGCTAAGGATTCTTTGGCAAAAACTCAGATTGAAAAACCTGTTCTCCTATGTAACATTTAGGTTCCATAATATTGAATGCAGGATCTTGAAGGGAGTGTCATCCTTCAAGATAAAATTGGATTTATTCCCAGAAAATATCCTGTTAATTGAATGAGAAAGCATAGAAAAAAGAGTTTGGCATAATGTAATAAAGACAGAATATTAATTCTAGTAGAGAAACTTAAATGGAGGAATTCCTGATGTCCAAGGAATTAAAATGCCCTGGTTGTTTAATATCCTGCAAATATTTGTTTAATATCCTGTAAAAGTGCTTCTAGGTGTAATTTTCTAGTTAAAAGCAACCTAAAAATAGCAAAATGAGATGCTCTGTGATATAGGTGTCAGGTTAATAATTAGCAGGATTAGAACTTTAAATTTAGTACATGAACATTAGTGTTGCTTGAATTAAGAAAGGAACAAAGTTATGGCTTCTTACATGGTATTTTTATCAGTATTAGTGGAAAGTGGGATATTTTTCTGAGGAGGAGAAAGAAGTTTGCAGATACTTGCAGAGGATGTTAAGTCTTTAGGGTGTTTTGTTTTACGTTTTTAAAAGCTTCTTGAAGACAAACACTTTTTTTAGGTTTTTGCCTATACTTCCAGCTTTTCCCTGCCTCAAGCCAGTCTCTAGGGCAGCACTGATCGTGTCTTTTCAAGCAAATATTTAGGCCTGACTAGTCCCAGACCGTCTCTTGATTGCATGCTGTCTCTCTGCTGCCAGCCCTTGCCTGCCTACAAATTCTTCTCACTTTCCCTTGCTTCTGCTGTTTTTTCGTCTTGTCTGATTCCTGTTGATGGGTCTTTTTTCAGTCTTTTGTTGTGAGCCATCTCCTTTCCACATACTTTTATTAAAATCCAACTCAGTCAGATTGTGTCAGAGATAGAATATCTGTCCCTCATTCTATCCAGTCCTGGTGATCCCCAGGTCTGCATTGTTCTGCTTGGCATTGCTCATTTTGGTTTAATCCACTACCCCATTTTACATTCCTCTTAGCTTCTTTCATTGTCTGGTCAATCCCACTTTATTCTTTCAAGCGTCCAATTCTGGTATCCACTACAAGCTGTTTCTTCCCTTTTTTCTCCACCCTAAATTCTCCTTAGTTACTCAACAATGTGAAGTGACAGGCCACTGTTTTCAACTGTGTTAGGGATATCAGCATAGTTGAGGCTGCAGAAATGCCAATGCTGTGTGTTCAATCCCTGGATGGGCCAACTCATCAAAGAGTTGGACTTGAAGATTCTTGTGGGTCCCTTCCAACTCAGAATATTCTGTGATTCTTTTACAGTGAAAATCTGACTCTTCACTCATAGCTAGAGGTTAGAGAAAACTTAATTCAGTTACCTTGCACATTCAGATGACAAGGCCACTGAGGGTGTTTGGTGGTTGGTTGTTAAGCTCCAGCAGATCTTGCAAAAAATAGGTACAAACTTTGATTTCTAGAAGCTTGTACCTTGGCTAAGTCAGGTCATATTTTCGCAAAAAGAGCACAGTGTACCTCTTTCATAAAAAAGCATTGTCCAGTCTGACTTCAAGTTACCAGTTCAGGGCAGGAAAGTGGTTACAGCCTCTCAGGTTCTCTCACAGTATAAAAATGTTCCAGCCATTCTCTGGGTTTCTTTAAAAGGTAGTGCTTAGGGGAGGGAAAAGGAAAAGCTACCTGAAGCAAAGAGTAGACACGGAAAATTTCATACCGAGTAGTTCAAAAGGCAGCTGAAAATAGTCTTAAGAACTTCCATGTGGCTTTGGTAACAGCTGATGTCACTAACCTGATAGAGCTTCTTTCTTAGGGCTTATTATATTTGTGTGTAAGGTAGGGTGATAAGTTTTTAAGTATGTTTCATTCCTTTTTTTTAGCATTTTATAATTTATTTATTTTTAATTAACCTTGAAAATAGCAAAACAAACTTTTCTGTACTGCTTTTAATGTCTAGCTGATGTAGAATACGAGTCCATTGTGGAGCCTTCAGGGAATATGTCTTGAATCAATTTAGTAAAAATGCTGTTGAAGCGTAAAGAACAAGAGAAGTGGAAGTGATAGGATAACCTTACTTTGCTAGCAGAATTCTGCCATGTTTGAAGAACTGCCCTCATTTTTTGACAGATGAGGGTTAAGTGACCTACAATAGACTTAACTTGTTTATTAGGTTTTTCTCTCTGAATAGATGCTTTAGGTTTAAAAATATATTTTTAAAATCTTATTATAGAGCTGATCAAAATATATCCAGGGACTTGATCACTTTTCTTTAAACGTGGTAGGCATTAGCAGTACCACAGCCAAAAATTGCCAACATACATGCCTCAATAATAATGTGCTGAATTGCAAATATGATGATTATCAAGATGAAAAAATGTAATTATGGACATGAATTTTTTTCCCATTTGGTTTTTTAGGCCATGGCTGAATAATTCTGATGCCTTAAAGGGTAAGAAAAGAAATGCTGTGTAGTTCAAACAAAACTGGCAGAATGGTTTTGAATACATATATAGAATAGATATAATTTCTGTAGGTACCGAGCCCTTGAATACAATAAAAAACATGGAACAAAAATCAAAAGAGCAGTTACTGGAGCATAATAGTAATGAACAATAAGTATAGGAATGATGAAGTAGCAGTAATATTCCCTTCCCTAAAACCCTCTTGTTTTGTTTTTTTAACCTCTTGCTTTTGGGTCTCTGTTTAATTTTGATGTATCTCTTGTAATATATTGCTGCATTTTTTTGTCATTTACATTGTCAATATATAACTGAGAATTAAAAGTATTCAGAAGATGTTTGGCTGTCTTAAAAAACCTGAATACATAAACTTGTAAAGCAAGGCTTGTGTTAAAGATAGGTTTTCCTTCAACTTTTCTATCTTACATATATACTGACAGAGATTTGGGGAAAAAAAAGTAGAGTGAAGAGTAAGACAGTTTTCTTGTTTCATATTTTTAATTTTAATTCTGCTCAAACAAAAAGAATGGCAATAGCAGGACGTGGTTCAGTTGCTAAGAAAAAATCCTTTGAGTTTTAAAATTCTAGAGAATAGCTGAAAATCAGTGTTTTTTACAGAAATGCCTAACTTATTGTTGCTTTGGATTACTGTATGTATCGAGGTCCCGCTTTGCAGTGGTATTTGCCAACTTCTGCTACTTCTTACTTGGTCAGAAATTCAGCTGATGCAAAACTTCATGTTCTTGCTGTT